ATGTAATTGGTCTGTAGGTACTGTGGACTCACTCAGGTATTAAAGCATTAGCAACCAGTCTTACTTTGCCTTTCTTCACAAATGTTACTAAATCTAAAAAGCCATATCTCACACAAATTGAAAAATAAACCTGAAAATCTTGAGAGCTCCTTTGCAAAAGAAACCTTTACTTACCAATCTTCCTTCCTCACTTCCTTCTTTCTTTTGCTCTTCTGTCCTCTTCCCAGCCCCTCTACATATTTTGAATATTGATGCTGCTCTGTTATATCCTCATCCTTTTTTTTTGAGACTAATGAAGAGGAAGAATTTCCTTCTGCAGAAAAAAACTAACCATTATGTGGTTGAATCTGGGAAACAGAACATGGATGTAAAGATACATTTCATTTCCGCTGCTTATTCTTTTCATTAGGAGAAGCGGGATGTTCGCTAATGGTTTCACCTTTACTATCTGTTACACTTACTGATGCTGAGGCTCTGAGTTTTCCCTGAGCTTCTCTTTTTAGATCAGGAGTTTTTAGGTGTGTCAGTCATACTGCAGCCTCATTAGTGTCTGCGTGACTTCCCCCGGGACATAGGAGAAGGTTGCACATTGCTCTTCTGAGAACAGCTGCGGCACACATTAGAAAATAGCAAGATAGATCAATATCCAGAAGGAAGGTTTCACCTTTTTTGAATTGAAGAATGTCAGGAAAACATTTTAAGTAATGTATGAGTTCTTGAATCAGAATATGTCATAGTAGCTGGATAGTTTGCCTGTCTGCCTGTCTTCTTATGTCATCTCATGAAGAAACTCTGAGCCTTTTTTCTTTCTAGCAGCTACGGATGAGTACCATGGAGCATACAAAAACTGGAGATGACTGAAGAAAATTCTGAAAGCCTTGCTATCATTAAAAAAAAGGGCTTTCTGCTTCTGTCAGTGCCTTCTGCTTCTGAGCATTTGCAGACTCTGGTTAACTGTCCAGCTATTATTTTCTATTGTCTATTTTCTGTTATTCTCACTGGAATAATTATCCTACTAAGTAATCTTCCAGTTTTGTGGAAGTTTTGTGGAAGCCAATGGCCTTATTTTAATTTTCTCCCTTCAAATTTAATACGAAGTATGTGTGAAAGCACCTTCTGCTGTTCAAGGAGAAGTAAAACTGCACTCTAGGTATTGGGCATCAAAGTTGCCTAGACAGGCAGCTCTGAGGGTCTTCAAAGTGATGGTTGTATTTGGCAAAATTCTACATATCCATAAGCCTGCACTGTCAGGCAAGTTCCAAGTCTGGAAATGTATATTTAAGTGTATAAACCATATTTAGGCATGTATTTCCCCCTGTGAATCTAGTAGTATAATATAGGCTGAGTATTGTGTACCTTTATGTGTATGGGTCCATATCAGCAAGACCTCGTCTTTATTTTCATGTGTGTACGTGAATATTCTTAAAAACTTCAGCCTACTGTGTTACTGCTTCTAGTTACATGGCCTTAAACCAAAGTGAAAGTATCCAAAAATGACAACAGTGTCACATTTATAAATGTATTATTGTTGTAGTTACTGCTTGTGTACTGCAGCCAGGGACATTTCTTGTATTTGTGTTACAAAGTCAGAACAAGACTGTTTCTGTCTCATGGGCTCACATCCAGTCATGAGCATAGAGACAAGTGGATGCCACGCACTAGCAGTAGGTGAAATACTAGAAGCATTATAAGAGCTGCTCTGAATCTCTGTTTTACAATAAAGGTTTTGATTTTCTTTAAGATTTTTCTTCTAATCTTTTCTTCTAATCTAATTGATCTATTATCTTCATTTTCATATTTTTTTTCATTGGTTGTAGCATGCACAAGTATGGACAAAATCAAAATGTGGTAATGTGTCACTAAAGTCATCACATGCTAAGAGCGGTTGGAAAGTCTGCTTCTTAATTTTAAGCAAATTTTCATTTTGGAGGGAAAGAGTTTCAATTTTGAGGGAAAGGAAAGAGTTTAAATGCTTGAACCTAATGAGTGGTTGAAGGAAGGTACTTTGAAATAGCCACACCAACATCTCTTGGAACACTCTAGTAACACATTTGTGAAAATTAAGTTAAAAGCTTCTGATTGCGTTAGATTGAGACAACTATCAGAAACAAGGACCAAAAGTGCTCTGAAAATGGCTGCAGTTCAGGTAAAAAGGCATCCATAGTGGATGGCAGGCCAATGAAGTGTCTGGATAGCTCAAGGATTGTGGTTATTTTCCCCATCAGACTGACAAAACCCTGACATTTTCATGTAATGTAAAACTGCACATTTGCTCCAGCTTTTAGTTGAAGACAGTTTGTAGAATGCAGAGGTTGTATAGAGTTCAGTTTTTCTATGTAGTTCTTTTTTTTTTATTATTTTTTTCTTTCAATCAATGCTACTTCAAACAGGGATTTCCTCCATTCTGAAAACAGACATACTTAACCAAGTAAATGCTAGAAAGATGTAGTGAGTAATGAGTCAAGAAAGATAAATTTAGACTGGAGGTAGCTTACATTCTAATAGTAAGTTTAAGAAATCTGTGAGAATAGTCTGGATATGCTGTTTATTATTTACTAGACTACTGTGCAACAAAACCATGTGGCTTCCAGAAGGATTTGTTTCTCAGATAGAAATGAGTCTGATGAAACTCATTTTCATAACAGGGAAAAGTTGTTCTTTGTTAGTCTTTTGAAAGGCATTGACAAAGTTAGTGAAGCAGTTCCTCTGGCTTTATTATCATGTAATTTATATTTATATATATGTAATTTATATTTATATCACACTACACCATGAGGTTTGAGGGAGTGCTTTGGATGAGTTGACTGACTTGAAAGAGATTATGTTCAGCTTTGAGGTATTTTCTGCAATTATATTGTCTAAATATTGAAATACATCCCACTAGATTTTAGCAAACTCGTTTCTCTTTGTGTTTCTGAAAATCTTATTTTGTCAGCATTGCCTTATGAAGTTTTATTCTAAAAATATTCAGTAGGCATAAAGGTTTATCAAATACATGAAGTCAAAAGAATTATATAATCTATCAGTGATTTCAGTTCTGCTTGAGAAGTCAAATTTTGGTGCGTTTGAAAAACACAGTTCTTGAACTTGAGTTCTTAATCCCATTGTCCACCTGAGCAAAAATGGCCTTTCAAATGTCAGGCAGTGATGATTTTCCTTCCATTCATTGTCTTTAAATCTCAAGGTAACATACTTTGTTGAGGGTTCAAACAAAGTGATAATAATAAGTTAATGCCTTTTTTTCATGGCAGGCATGGCTAAATTGATTATCAAGCCTGTGCAATATTACTATTGATTATGACAGTCACAATAACATGTGCCACCATGCTTCCCCAAATAAGCAAGTGATTGAACCACCTTCTGAATGTGAAAACCTTAGAATAATGACAATAATAAATACTTTTTGTCTAGTGTGCAGTGGCACAGTGAATTGGATCATGTTAGGCTTCATCTGCTGCCTAATGCAATGTAACGGCAGATAAAATAAATCAAATGGATGACACTCTGTTGGACTTGAAATACGATAGCTCTTGTAAAGCAATTGATGTGGGAATATGTCACTGCAGTACATCTCAGATGTTTATTGAAGTCTAGAATCTTTGAATATGAACAAATGCATATTTTAACGGCCATGAAACAAGTGACTACAAATACAGCAGTATGCTTATTACTGACAAAGCTTTTTCCTAAGACAGAAATCAACTACATTTTATGTTTATTTGTGTGCTTGATAGCTTTCTTTCCCTGCAAGGGCATCTTAGAGGCGTTGAACTTCGAAGCAAACTGTTGTGAATCACTTTAATGATTATCCTGGTAGCTAGACTTAGATTTTAGTTATGAAAGTCCAGTAGTGCCTTCTAGAGATCATTTGTAAGGTGTTGGTGAGTTAGGATTTAATAACATAATTTCAAGCAAATAGCATTCAAAAATATTGTTTGCATTGTAATAAGCTGTGTTTATTGAACTCAATTTTAAGGAAGGTTTTAATTGATTTTTCTTGCAAATGTTTGCTAATTTTGAATGCTTATTACAATTCACTCCATATGATTCATTACTTGAGCATTCTAAGAGATGATTTACTAATTATTTTTCAATGAATAAGTGTACAGTTTCTGTAAGAGTTGTTAACAATTAGGAAGCGTATTAAGATTAAGACCCATTCCCTCTAATTAAAACTGTGGGTTTTTTTTATTTCTCTTTCATATGCTTCATTAATGTGGAAAGCTCAAGTCTCACTTAATTTGCAGAGTTTTAAGTATGGTTTTATTTAATCATTGTGATGGAATTATGAATTTTTTTATTTATTTATTTTTTTTAAGATAAGGAAAAGAATGTTTCAACAGGAGCAGGTTTTTGTGTGTGTGATTTTTTTTTTAAATATATTTAGGAGAGGCTTCATGATCCTTTATTTGAAAAAAAAAAACAACATGTAGCATTCCTTGAATACAGTGTTTATTCAATGAAAATATAATGCATTTTGTTAAAGTTAACAAATAAATTGTTAAATTGGTCAAAATTAAATGTAGTCTGTTAATGATTTTGTCTTTTGGATCAGATCTTTGATTCTCTTCTCAATAGCAGAATAACAAGCTGTAAAGAGTAAAGCTGTGTTTTCAAAGTAGGTATACCACCATTAGTTTCTGGATTTGTTCTCTGTGAGTTCTAATTACATACAACAATTTGAGTCTCATAGAACAGTGTGAGGTGCATTTGAATACTGTCACTGTAGTTTTGATGTTGTAATATGGGTTTAATTCAACTTTAGCCTTCTGGAGTACTTAGAGTTCTTAACACTTATTTTGCTGATTATTAAAATGCTTCTCAAATGTGTTTTCCTGAATAATCAATATGTACTTATAATTTGAAACTGATGTTGCAGTTAATATCTGGAGAACAGTGTTAACATTAAAAGTGTTTGTTCTCTGATGAAGGTATTGCATGATAAAACCAATAATCCCAAATTAGAACAAAAATATAATTAATGCTTTTCTTCTGTGCAGCCCACCGTTTGTGAACGGGAGCTCTGTGTATTTGCTTTCCAAACATTAGGAGTAATGAATGAAGCTGCTGATGAAATTGCAACTGGGGCTCAGGTAGAATTATCTAATCCTTGTTGCGCATCTAATTGTCTATAGTATACATAGTGTTTTCAGTCTCTTTTAAAATTTATTTTGACTTGTACTCTTTGGTAAGTATTATTTATTTGTGCAGTCTTACAGCTGTAAATACACTGTTCTATGCATGACATTTTCAAATTTTACTAATGAGGTGCTTCCATTGTTTTCCTTCCTGTAATTAGAGTAACCCTGTTTTCTTCTTCTGTTGCATTCAATTAGGTCACCTGGGTTGTTAATAAAGGTAGCTGTTGTTATCTGCAGATAATTCCCATTTATTTTCACCTAATGAGCCATTACTACTCACATTCAATTAATAAGCAAGTTCCTGTTCATTGGTGTTGGGATATAACTGTTCACTGAGCATCTGTTGTTTTGATCATTAAATAACAGTGGGAAAGTCCTTACTGATGTTGCTACATGGACTTCTTTTTTCCCTTCTCAAGGAATAGAAATTTGACATAGTCTTGCTTCCTGACTCAATTATTCAGTTCAATTATTAATTTATTTTTAACCATGTAATTACTTGACTTTCATGATTTTAAATATGCCCTAAACAAAGTATTTTAAGCTATGTTTCTAAATCATCATTTAAATTTAGTTTACAGTAGTTGTAGGTTTTCAGTAAATTCAGAAGTTAAAATGACCTTTTAAGTCCTTATGGAAGAACGCATTCCTTTCTAATTACCTAAATATGCATAACTTACTATAACTTTTGCAGTGAGCAGGGTTGTTTTTTTTTGGAAGAACAGGGATTCAGTTCAATTAGCTTTAACTAGCACTACTGAATCTGGCCTCTGGAAACAAACTATTTGGCTAAATGCCTTTAGTCCTTTCCTCAGAAGAAGAAATTTGGATCAGCATACCGCAACTTCTTCACTTGAGAATGTAACTATAGGATCTGAATGGCAGCTCATCATAAAAACAGGGAGGTGCACTGATGAAATCCCTCTTCACCAGCCTGAAGTCCTCCGAAGATCTGTTATGTCATTCTATGGAGCTGGAATTTTATTTTCTGAATGTACGAATACTTACATTGTACTTATGTACACAAACTAACTCTCGCTTCTCTTCAAATACAGCTGATGGGAGAGATGGTCCTTGTTAATTCTCATTGTATATTTTGGAAGATCTTGCTGCAGATATATGCAGAGTTAGCACTGGATCTCTAGAGAAGCTCTTCATCTACTTTTCCAAAGACTGCTGAATTTTTTCCAGCTTATAACAGTGCTTTAAAGAGGTAGAAGGGGGTTTTGTTGATTGTCTTACTGGACTTTGGTGACTAAATTTTGCTGAGTCTCACTGTAGTGATATCATCACACTCAGTGCATTGCATCTCATCTGGCTGAGCTCTTTTTCCTATTTCCAGAAATAAGTCAGTACTTTTAGGATTTGATTCATCTCAGCTGTTTTTGACATTAGTTTAGGGTGGAGTGAATTGCAGCATAGAGTATCTGCACAGCAGTGATTTCCTCTATGGACTGTGAAGAGAGCCTCATCGGACTAGTGTACAAATCCAATATATTTCATCAGACAAATCTTCCTCCAGGTCTCCAAACCATTTTGTGTGGTGAAAATTTCTAAATGCATATTCTCATTATTGGAAATCACATTCTGATTTTTGTGCTGAGTTTCAAACTAGTTTCCTAAGGTAGACACTGTGTCACTTCCAATACTCTGATGGTTTCTTAATAACAAGAGACTACTTCCCAAAACTTTCAAGCGTGAACTCACCTTGCCTTATTTTAGTCATGGTTGAAATGCCTGAAAATTAAATACCTGACTTTTTTGTTTGGACTTCCTTCAAAGATTCTTGATGGAGAGAGGCACTAAAAGACTTACGTAATACGAGAGATTTGTCATTGTTAACCATCATTTTTTCCTCCTTGAAAATATTTAAATCCTAACTCAAGTTCTTCAGTACCCACTATGAAGTAAAAGGAAGATTATGCCTGACTGTATGGACATTTAGTCAATCCACAGCACATCCTATTACCAGGGAACACATAAGTGCACTTGTATTGTAACTTTTGATTTAGACTTATCTCCAACTTTCACCTACTCCATGTTCCACCACATCAAAATGATCTCAAAGGAAATCAGAGGATTATTTAGGCCTAATCTATGCAGAGTTTCCCCCATTAAAGCAATCTGATGGTATCATGGTGGGAGAGAAAACAGAAGTCAATAGTTGTTTCAAGAAGAGTTTGGGATGCTGTAGAACCTGTCAGAGCTGTGCCAATTTTGAGACAGTGGCCCGCTGTGCAAGTAATAATGCAAGACAACTTTGGATCACTGTGTCTAGGGACTAAGACAACTCTTCACTATTAATGTTTGGCAACTGAAAGCAAAGAAGTACCTGTGAGAAGCAAGGTGTATGAACTCTGGCTCAGTTTCATGGTAATACATTTACACATTTGCAGGCCTAGCTGCCTGACCTGGCTGTATATGAAGACTCCCTTTCTCCTTTGCAAATGCTAATACAGATGCTCCATTTTGAATCATCCATCACACTTGTAGATATTATAAACTGAAAAGATATTAGAATAGCATAGAGAAAGGAATGATTATTTAGATAACTTCATTTTTTAATATATCTGAGATATTTTAAAACAGAGAAAATTGTTCATTCATGCAAAAGGAGCAGAGGAGAAGAATGGTGACAGTATGAGTCACTGAAGCAGAGTTGCTTTTTCCTTTCTTTATGATTCTTATTTTCACTCTTCTCTAAAGGGCCATAATTTTTATTTCCTCCAAATGATCAGATACAATGGCAGACATATAATAACTCCTACAGTGGCTTGAGCTGTGAAATGAGATCTTATCCATTTGGGACTGTAGGAGGAACTGAGGATACCTACTAAGTACAACTCATCTTGGCTTCTTGTTTCTTTCATGAAAAAGTCTGGTTTTACAGAGGGATGGTTTCAGAAGTCAGAGAGAAACCAGGGGAAATAAGCCTATTTGCAGATACATTTTTGTGTGGCAACCTTGAATTTCATTATGGATTTAGGTTTCACAGCTGCTAGAAAGCTGCTGCTTCTGTTTTGCTGTGGTCTGTTTTTAACTTCTGAATTACTAATTTTGAAACATTTAAATCACAAATTGTGTATGTGCCTACAGGAACGCATATGAGTGCATGTCTGTACAGATTACGCACATGATCTTATATGATTTTGGAAATAAATATTCAAATGGACTTATAGTTACAGAATCACAGAATCACAGAATGGCCACGGTTGGAAGGGACCTCAAAGATTATGAATCTCCAAACCCCCTGCCACATGCAGGGCCACCAACCTCCCCATTTAATACTAGACGAGGCTGCCCAGGGCTCTATCCAATCTGTCCTTGAACACCTCTATGGACAGGGCATCCACAACCTCTCTGGGCAGCCTGTTCCAGCACCTCACCACTCTTGTAGTAAAGATGAGATCAACCTAAATCTTCCCTCCCTCAACTTAAAACCATTTCCCCTTGTCCTGCCGTTATCTACCCTTTCAAAGAGTTGATTCCCCTCCTATTTGTAGGCTCCTTTTAGGTGCTGAAAGGCTGCAATGAGGGCACCCTGCGCTTCTTTTCTCCAGGCTGAACAAGCCCAGCTCCCTCAGCCTGTCTTCGTAGGAGAGGTGCTCCATCTTCCTGGAGTATCATCTTTGTGGCTCTCCTCTGGACCCTCTCCAACAGCTCCCTGTCTTCCTTGTACTGGGGGCTTCAGACCTGGACAAAGCACTGCAGATGGGGTCTCACAAGAGCAGAGTAGAGAGGGACAATCACCTCCCTGTCCCTGCTGGCCACTCCTCTTCTGACAGAGGTATCCTGTTCCAGGATACCATTTGCTTTCCAAGCTGCAAGGACACACTGCTGGCTCATTTTAAGCTTTTCATCCATCAGGACCCCCAGGTCCTTCTCTGCAGTGCTGCTCTCAAGGACTGCTTCTTCCAGTCTGTATGGATGCCTGGGATTCCTCCGGCCCAAGTGCAAAACCTTGCACTCTGCTGTGTTGAACCTCATCAGGTTCACCCGGGCCCACCTTTCTAGCTTTTGAGGTCCCTCTGACTGGTATCCCTTCTTTCAACCGTGTCAACTTCACCACTCAGCTTGGTGTCATCAGCAAACTTGCTGAGGGTGCACTTGATTCCATCGTTGATGTCATTGATGAAGATGTTAAAAAACACCGGTCCCAAGACAGACCCCTGGGGGACGCCGCTTGTTACCAGCCTCCACCTGGACATGAAGCCATTGATGACCACCCTCTGTCTGCGGCCTTTCAACCAGTTTCTTATCCATCGAGTGGTCCACACGTCAAATCCACATCCCTCCAATTTGGAGATAAGGATGTGGTGGGGAACCATGTCAAAGGCCTTGCTCAAGTCCAGGTAAATGACATCGGTTGCCTTTCCCTTGTCCAATGATGCCTTCAGTCCATCATAGAAGGCTACCACACTGGTTAAGCATGACCTTCCCCTGGTGAAGCCATGCTGGCTGTCTCGGATCACACACTCATTCGTCATGTGATCAAGCATATTGTCCAGGAGGACCTGTTCCATAATCTTCCCAAGTACAGAGGTGAGACTCACCAGTCTGTAGTTCCCCAGGTCCTTCTTGTAAATGGAGTGACGTGACTCTTCCTCCAGTCATCTGGGACTTCACCTGACAGCCATGACTTTTCAAATATAATGGAAGATATGATGATGATATGATAGTTAAGTATTACAGAAAGAAAAAAGAGGAACTGGACTCCCAGTAGGAGTTGTGCAAATGGCTTTTAAATCACAGCACTGTTCTGGATTTAGCAGAAGCAGTGTTTACTAGTGTTTCTATGATTACAGTGTTCAGAAGAACTGAAGGCAGTGGTACAGGTTCACAAACCCTTCCTCTTTCTTGAGCGGCATTCTTCTTTGACGTCTACTACACAAGGCTACACAGATCCAGCATGACTTCATTTCCCCAAAGAATGAATTTAATCCAGGTGTTAGCACATGAACAAGAGAGTAAGCAGGACTGCAAGGAATGCATCTGGTACATTTAAGAGCAGGTACTGGTCTTACTAATGCACCTGGAATAATATACCTGGTTTAGATCCAAAGCCTTTTGAGGTCAATGGAAGAATGGCAGTCTTATTTCTTGTTGATGGCGTGGTTTGGATGATATAATTAGTAATGAAATAGAATATTTCTAGAATGTACAGAATAAAGAAGACTGGATGATACAATATAAAAGTAAATATATTAAATAAATTTTTTTCTTCATCTCTAGGTAGTTGATCTATTAGTATCAATGTGTCGGTCTGCATTAGAGTCACCTAGGAAAGTTGTTATTTTTGAGCCATATCCTTCTGTAGTTGATCCTAATGATCCTCAGATGCTGGCCTTTAACCCTAGGGTAAGTAGTTATCTTTGATTATGTCACAGTTTGGTTTTAATCATTACTTAGGTTACAAAGCAAGCCTTATTCTGGAGGGTCCTTTACTAGAAAAGTGTAACTCCAGCATATAATGTAAGCATGTGATTGTTTTCAGAACTCAACACTTTTTTTTAGTTGTCTCTGAGAAGGTGTTTGCAAATAAACTGTAAGTTGTAGTTAAAGTTATGAAGTCTTGAAGCAAAAAACTTATTTTAAGATACTAATTGTAGATTAGATTTTGTTGTTGTTGTTGTTGTTTCTGGGTTTTTTTCTTTTGTGTCTTTCTCTCAGTGTACACACTGGACTCAGAGAAAGACTGGTATAACTGTCAGACTTAGAATTGTTTGCTCCTCAAGCTGCAAATGCTGCCTCTCAGGGAAGCCCTAGGAAAGCTGTGAACCCCTTATAGATCACCTGAACTCTCCTCAAGGGTGTAATTGGGGACTTTGGATGTCTTACATGGGGATGCATTTCATTTCCTGAACAAAGACCAACTAGCAGTGATTCTTCCTCAGAGGAAAGGGTTATAATCTGTAGCATGCAGGAAGAATTGACAAAGAGGCTGATAAGGAGACAGATAGCTTGGACAGGGCAAGGATGTAAACTGGTGTAAGGAAGGAGAAAGCTCATAATAGAATCATTAAAGGTTGGAAAATGTAAAAGACCTGTAAGATGATCTAGTCCAAACATCACATCCATGATAGGAGAGGAGCAGGGCAGGCCGAGGAGGTGTGGCTGACTGTCTCCTCCCAGGTTCTTGCCAGCATGAATGAGGTGAAAGCCCCTGGGCAGGAGCTGGCTAGAACCAAAGATAAGTGAAGGTACAGTGAGGTGCCCAAAGGTGATGTGGCCTGTGAAGCTGATGAAGCACACAGTGTCAAGCTCATCTGCTCAGAAAAGATGGAATTCCCTGTTGCTTCTTCCCAGGCAGGGTGCACGCAAAGGTCAGTCAGGCAAGGCAGAGCAGAGAAACAGCTGAACAACCTCCGATGTTTCATAGAGCTGTTAGCAAAGTAAATGCATCTGCTTATTTAGCATTTTATTTAGCAGTGTTTGTTAATTGCATACTTACTAGCAGCACATTATCTAAATAACTGGCAGTGCCTTTATGCAGCTACAAATATTTGTTTAAAAAGTGACTAGATCTTTTAAGTGAGTTACATTGTTGTATGTTTGAGAGTCTAGTGACATTCAGAGAACAATCATCATAGTAATATTTTTTTTTTTTAATGAAAAAATTTGTGCATGAATAAAGCGGAAGGAAACTTGCTTAAAAAATACAAAACGATTGGTTTGCTGAACATTCATCCTAACTTTGATTTTATACAGACTCAAAAAAATTGAGGGTTTTGTACAACTAAAGACCGATAGTCTTAATGTATTTTCTTATTTTATTTTACATCAGAAGAAGAATTATGACCGAGTCATGAAAGCGTTGGATAGTATAACTTCTATTAGAGAGATGACACAGGTGAGTTTAAAAATGTTTACATAATGTAACAGCTATTTCTAGATCTAGGAGGATACTTATTTGAGTCTGTGATGGGTGGGAAAGGTGATGACTTCTTTTTTTGTAAGGCTAAAATGTGTGCTAAAAATATCAAACTACTGTATTCACAATGGCAATGAAATTAAAGTGATGAAGTAGAATTCAACTATTTTGAAGTTTAAATAAGAGATAACAGCAGATTGGGACTTTACAACAAGATAATCACCAACTGCTGCATTTCTGGGAATATCAAACTGTGTCACTTTGTTTCCAAAGAGAAAGAAATCGATTTTGTGATGATGCTCTGAATTATAGCTTTATTTCTGATAGAACAAAACACTTGTTCAGCTCAGTATGGATGAGAACTAGGAACATTGGGTCTCTTGGGATCACTACCATACGATTTCTCAATATTCACAGTAGGACAGAATCTGATAGCTGTTCTTATATTTACTGTAACAATTCATTTCCCAAACAGACCCTCTAAGTATAACTGCTTATTGAAATCTCTCACATACATCTTGCTTTTCCAATTGTTTTATAATTGTAATTTCACAAGATTTTATAAATCACATTTTGCATGTATTCGTAAAGTACTTTGGAAATATGGAATGCAGAATGATGTATAGAAAGCAGCAAAACACATTGAATATAACAATTGAGGTATTTTTGTTAGTTTTTATAATATCTCCTAAAGTAAGCAACATTTTACTACTTTCAACATTAAAATAATTATTGAACTGAAGATTTTTAAATGAGTACTTTGCACTGCAATAGAAATCAAGAAATGTCTTCAGGAGTAATATAAGCTTCTAATAGTGTTTAACAGTTTTTATCATGAAACAGATTTAAAAAAATGTGGATTAACTTGGGATTTTATGGTATTTTGAGAAACTTGATTTTGTGTGTCCCCATCCAATTTATTAGTCCAAGAGCTGAACATTAGTGCATATGTTTTGCTGTTGTCCCTAAGATCACCAATGTTTTTTATAATATACTCTTTTCGATGCTAATTATATGCTTATTATTTTACTCCAGGGAAAATAATTGCTTTATTTATTCTTCTTGTTGTCAAAATACATTTGTAACTGTACAATGCTAAATGTCATCAAAGCTGTGATTTAAGCCTAAAAACAAGTCCCATGTATTCATTTTTATAGATGAAGTCACAGACAATGTAACATATAACACTTAACTTTATGATTTCAACCAGCATAAAGAATGTAATTACTGTTTCCTAGGCACCTTACTTGGAAATAAAGAAGCAGATGGATAAACAAGACCCACTTGCACATCCTCTTCTACAATGGTATAATACTGACTCACATGGCATGATTATTCACTTGCCAAGATGAATGAATAATTACTTCACCAATTTAATTTTCTATAAGCTCACCCTAAGAATTACTGCCAGAGTTAATGTTTGCAACTGCTTTGTTCCTGAACTGTTTCTGGATCTCACCTGGAGTTTCTGAAAGCAGTGGAAAGACTCTAGCTTATTTTACAGCTTCAGATCTGACTTCGTAGCCAAGATGTAGTCTGCTTTAACCTGATAGGTTCAAAAGCCTGCAGCCTCATGTTCTGTTATGGCTATGCATTATGTTTTTTAGAGGGAAAGTTCTGCTTGTTTGTCATATCTAGTGCATATAATTATTTCTTCTTTTAGGGTTATTTCTAGTAACAGATCACATATTGTGAAGCTACCAGTGAATAGGGTAAGTGTCTGTGGGTTATTTCCTCATTTCTCATGGTTCACATCAGCATAAATGAGAGTCCTGGCCAAATGTAAATGTCCATGTTTAAACTGGTCTTATGGACTCCATTAATAGACAGTGGAGAGAAATAGACAGTTTTGAGTTATGACTTATAGCATTACATTGTGAATATCTAAAACAGGTGAAACAAATTACAGTCAGAAAAAGACTATTTTAGATGAGGAGCTCAAATACAAATGTCTGCCTTGCAGTCATCTGAGATTGAGTGAGAACTTCACTGCTTTTGTTACCATTTGCAATATTGCCATTGCCATTTAGAATAACAGATATAGAATTGTATGAAGAGCAGTGCAGACAAACTACATCTATCAGAAGAACCACATATGAACATACTATAAAAACAGCATAGCTCTGACATTTTAGATGGGTGGTGCTGAGATTCATTTCTGAGTATCTTTGGCTCTGATGCTCTGATTAAGGGTGTAGTAATCTGCAGCCTTTCAAATCTAAACCTTAATTCAAAGACAGCTTTGATTGAGATACCAGGAGAAATTGTTCAATTTAATTACCTTACAAGAGACATAGCAGGCTGAAATCTGTTTCAGAAACTTCCATATGTTTCATAAACCAAAGACTGTTTTTGTGTTTGATTTCAGATAAAAGCTATAGTAATTAGACCAATTTCAACTTAGTTCTTGGTGTATAAACGTAGTTGAAGTTAGTAGTGTGCAAAACAACTCAGTATATTAAGAACTGCCATTCTGGAAGTACAATGCTATTGTGTTCATCAGCTTCTTTTCACATATGCACTATTGTATTTTGCAGCAACTAAAGTTTATGCACACTCCACACCAGTTCCTGCTTCTCAGCAGTCCACCAGCCAAAGAATCCAATTTTCGAGCTGCTAAAAACCTTTATGGAAGTACCTTTGCATTTCAGTGAGTCCATAAGTTTGTATTAATCAAAGGTTACCAAAATGTCACACTGTCTTTTTTTTCCTTCTTGCCATTTGAGGTTTCCAGCTGTGAATGTACTGCTTTAAAGGACTAATGATTTCATTTTGAATTTTGCACTGTAGATTTTAACACTTTCTCTTTTACTTTTTCAGTGGTTCACACATTGAAAATTGGCATTCCATCCTGAGAAATGGCTTAGTTGTTGCTTCCAATACGAGGCTGCAGGTGAATAATCTAGATAGACTTTAGCTAACCTGTGTATGTTTGATTACATATTAAAATCAGGTGAATTTTCAGTGGGTGTATTTATAGTAGTCATATTGGTGGCAAATATCCTTACGTTTTCTGGAAAAGGTAATTTTATGAAGCAATTAAAATTAAATAATGTGTCTGCTAAAAATGGCTTTAAAAAAGCCATACGAGTGGAATCAAGCGTTTCGTTTTTACATTGCACAGCAGCACCTCCACGAGGCTCGGCTCAGAACTGCTTAAAGGCGATCTCAAAGACCAGAATTTGAGGCACACCTTTATTACAGGATCCCAGAGCACACTAAATTTACAGATGCCAAGCTTACAGTGTCTCCTTCCCCCCTCTCATTTTCTTGGGAAGGAAATATGAGTGTACTGGCAAGGAGGGATCTATGGAGAAAACTTCACTTTGGTTTCTTAGGCTGAACCATGAGACCAGTGCTGCAGGGGAAAGTAGGCAGTACAAGAGTTGCCTAGAGGAATGCGATTCAGTGTGTTTTAACATCAGAGTTTTGGCAGGTGTTCTCCAGAGATAAATCCACAATCCTGATACCTTGGAGGGAGACCTAAGGGTGCTGACTGAAGATTAGGGAGCAGGAAACACTGAAAAAGGGACTGGAAATTTCTGCTATTCTTTCTGGTGCTTTGGGTGTTTTTATTAGCATCTTTCAAATATACATCACCAAGAAAGCACAACTCACACTCAGAAATTCACCAGAGTAAACCCTTTTGTTTGTGCTTATTGTTTGTTCAGACTTAAGATATTGAGAAGAGGAAAAAGCATTCAAATCTGTCTCACATACACCATCGTTTTTAAATCTCTCACATGACTAAGCTATACCATTAGTCCAGTTCATTCTGTTTATCCCAATTCTGTTTATCTGGATACCAACCAGTCAGGAAGAGTATCTACTCACCAGGGATCCCATACAAGACCATACAGTCTGGAGAAGTGACAGTGCATACCTATGGGAGCTCTGGTACATTGCAGACGTAGTGTAAATATTGTGGGGTCAGACGAAAGAAATAAGGGTGAGAGTAACTCTGAAGCCCGATGACCATAACACCTGTCTGTGTAGGAGATGCCCTGGTTTCTCACATGAGCTGCAACAACTACTTTTTGTGTCTTTTTTGAAGGCTTATCTACTTAAGGCAGTCAGAACCTGGATGAAAAGCAGAAACTGTATTTCCTACTTCCCTGAAAAGAAAATGGCCAATAAAACATGCTTGTCTTGTTGCTTAGCCCAAGCACTGTGATTTGAGCCAGTTATGCTGGTGAAAAAAGTCTTCCCTTTCCTCTCATCTTCAGACACATAACTCTGTGGCTAAAGAACTGTTCTGAAGTGATGGGATATATATGGCTGAATAGGCTTAGGCAAAAGCTTGGTTGAAATCATCCCTCCAGTGCTCAGGCTGAACACAAAAATAATTTTTTATTATTATTATAATATAAATATTAGCAAATAAGCACTTTCCTCACCATTTCTTCATTTCTTAACTTAGGAAAAAAAAAATAGCTATTATTAGATTGTTTGCATACCCAGTTCAGCAGGCATAGTTTGGAAAAACCTTCCGGATCTAGTTCCTTCAAAAGTGATCCACAAAGACTCCCAGAGACAGCCTAAAATTGTCTTTGCACCCTTGGACACAGTTTCCAGAATGTGTGGTATTTTAGTTGTATATTCATGGCACTTATTTTTTTTTTTAGACAACTTCGAGCACCATTTATTACCAATCAACAAATTAATGCTAATGAATGGTAACTCATCTACATCAAGCCTTGTGCATATCATTATTTTTTTATCCAGATGCTAAACAATTGTTCTGTTCTCTCTTTCAGCTCCATGGTGCAATGTTTGGAAGTGGCATCTACCTTAGTCCATTGTCAAGCATATCATTTGGTTACTCAGGTGATATTTATAAATCACTCTAGAGTTAAGACATGGAGGGATATCTCAGTCTATTATTTTTATCACTAGTTTTGCTTCTTATGGCACCATAGAAAATTTGGTGTGTAGTAAATTCTGTAGTCCAAGATTAGATTCTCTTTTTTGAATTAACTAGTTTTCCCTTATTAAATACTTGTCCTCATTTTTGAAGGTGACGAGTGTCTTGAAGCTCTAGTTGAAATAAGTAGTAACTAAAGCTGAATGTTGTTTTTAATGGAGCAGGTCTTGACCATACAGTGGAAATCCAATGTAGTGATTGATTTGTTTTTTGTCAGTATCTACCTAAGTTCATCTATTATTATGGATATATAGGCTTTTAGGAACTTATCTGACCCAACAAATATTCATCAAAACACATGTTCAGCTATATGTGTTTAAGAATGTTGCCAAGTGTGATACATCAAACATACATAGAAAATAATGGATCGTGAATTCATTTTAGCATTTGAACAGAAGGGGACAAATTTGTCCCACTTGTGAATCCAGAAGTAAGCCATGCAGAGCTTTCCATCTTAGAATCATAAATAAAAGCATAACAAGTACATTGTCTGCCAATGTAAAATAAATAAAAAATATCTGTATTAAGTAACTTTTGTGAAGATTTTAAAATGCTGTGACTTTTTTCTTTCCTTATGTTGTGTTCAGCAGCATTTTCTCTCATGTAAAACTGCTGGTATAGTTGAATGTGAGTTTTTCTGCATGTAGATAAATTCTGAAAATGTTAGTTATGCTTTCTGATTTTTTTGTATTTTTAGGTAATGTCACAATTCATTTCTAGAGCTCAGAATTTTTTACTGCTGTTTATTGAGTTTCAATATCAGTAATTTCTAAATGCACTTTTAGCTTCTCGGAGATTACACAAGTATGGGAGCTTTTTAGGGCTCACTGAAAGTACCGACTGCAGAATTATCATTTTAGAAAGTGACCTCTTTTTTGTACAGCATTGATCTGTGAATTTCAGTGTATCTTCTCCCCTCTCTACATCTTTTGATGCCTTCCATCTAGTCTCTTCCAGAAAGGAAACTTGTGTACCTATTAAATATGTAATATTAATTAAAATATGTAACATTTTGTAACACTAAAAAAACATGGTGGATCCTACACTCATTATCTCACAGGCATAAAGTTCAGCATAATCTGGTGTGTATTTGCAAATTATCAAGAAATGTAGAGCAGTGGAAACTAAAGGAAGCCTGTAATAATGTACTATACAGGAATGTTATATAAACTACCAAGAAGAATATAAATGAGATCTAAGGCACCAATATAGGAGTTGAAATTTTCTGAGAAGGAAATTGGATCCAAATTGATTGACCAATACTTTTATGGGTTCACCTGTATATAATTTAACCTAGGGAGACTTTAAAACTACTTTTATATAAACTAAGTATTACTGAAAATTATTTAGACTTTCTCTAGAACTAAATAAAATGTTCTAAATGAATATCTGAAGTTCATCTAGGGTAGGATTTTACTATCCTACCCTCAATAAATGAAACTGTTCCTTCAGCTTCAGTAGGGTCTGTTAGGTTGAAACATGTTAAAATGCAGTCTGTTAAGGAACCACTTAAGAGCATTCAGTGGCATTTGTAATCATTTTTATCTACTTTCATACCTTCTTAGTGCAAACTTGGCTTCTTAATGTCTTTGCAACGTATGCAGATATATGGGTAATTTACAGGATTAAATTGAATTATTTTCTGGCAAAGTTAACTAGCTTTCTGCCTGCAATGCAAAGGACTGTAATTTTGACCATGCCACCTGTTGCATTATTTTGCTTACAGTTGTATTTATATGGCAGAGTATTTCACATTATTTTTGCATCTTAGGGATGAACAAGAAGCAGCAGAAGGTGTCAGCTAAAGATGAACCAGCTTCAAGCAGTAAGGGTAGCAACACATCACAGGTACAGTAGTATATCAATCATCTCTGGAAGATTTATAGTTTTATGTTGGGAACCTGGTATTCGAAAGGAAGCGATATTTCCGTTGTGAAAGCTAATGGTTTTAGTAAATGAAATCAACAAGTCAAAATACTGCACTCATCACATACAACCCAACTGCTCTAAGAATTTATGGAGTATATTACAGGTCCCAATGCTCTTCTTTTCCAACCAGAAGAATTTGGGAAGAGAATGAAAACAAAACACAGATATCATTATGACCTTTAACAAGGCCTTGCTTTCTGAGCTCTGGAATTTTAATGAACAATGTTGCAGAAGGAGTTAAGAGCAACTACTTTTGGAAAACGAGCACAGGATTTCAGTGATGGCTAGTTGGATTTTGGTTATGTTTTTCCACAGTTTCTACACACTAAACCTTTAGAATTCTGGTTTATTTAAAGCAAGCTTGTAGAAACTGCATGTAGAACTAAATGTTGAGGGAAAAAAAATATAACATCTGTCTCTAATACATAAAAACTACTGAATAATTTGGCTTTAGGTAAAAACTCACATATAAGGGCAGAATCCCTTGGAATTTAGGTGGCCAGTAAAGCATGAAAATAAATCAAGTGGCCAAAGAATCACTGATTAAATCACTTCGGTTTTGCTGTTGTTGTTTTTGTTGTTTTTCTGCTGTCAATTTGTTTATTGGTAATATTGATTCACTGATTGTAATCAGTGTTTATCAGTAAAAGTGATCCTTGCATAATCAGGAATTTTTTTTTCTGAATAAAAGAAATCAAACCTTTCCTATGAAAATCCTCCCTCAGAAAAGTTTTAGAAATTCTGATACATTTAGAAATAAGGCAGAAATTTTATAGAAAGACTGTCTTGATTTATAATGAATAAATCATTGAAAATAGCAGCTCTCTCCTTTGCTACTTTTTCACTGTTTGTCTTACAGCAATAATTAAGTTTTCTCATGTTTTTACATCTCAGTCACAGAAGAAAGGACAACAGTCACAATTTTTGCAAAGCCGTAACTTAAAATGCATAGCCTTATGTGAAGGTAAGCTGAAAGCCCTTGAAAAACTGTTCTAGTCATGAGCATGGTTATACTGAATGTAAAGCAGCGTGACCTTTAGTGCCAGTATTGGTTGGTTTAAGTAAGGAACTATTGGTAGGCATATGAGTACTTGTTAGCAGCTGACCTTTGTATTTCTGTTGAAAATATTTCCTTCTTCGAACAAGAAGTATAATACATGCTGAATTTTTATGTAATAATCATAATATAGAATCGTAGGATGGCTTAGGTTGGAAGGCATCTTCAGGTCTACTCCATTCCAGTGCCATGATCAGGCCTGTCACCCACCAGCTCAGGCTACCCAGGGCCCAATGCAAACTGGCCTTGAACACCTCCAGGGGTGGGACCTCAGAGTAGAGGACTTGCTATTGACTGTATTGTGACTGATCATCTGGTCTGTCCAGCAAGGTTCTTCATTTGATTCAGTGACTTCTTGTAAGCTTCTAACGGATACATAAAACATGTGACTCTGAGAAACAACAGCTTTCATACTGAATTTTCAAATGATTTTTAACTGCTCAGGTAAATTTGTTCTTCATGTGATAACCAACCTGCTCTTCTGGAGTGCTTCAGAATTTTTTTAAAGTTATAAATCCAGTGCTTATGATTACCATTATTCTTGAGAGACTACTATTTTTTGTCAAGTCATATTAAGGAATTTGAACAGTTGATAAGGAATCTCATTAAAAGAAATTATATTGAATTTAACTTGCTCTCCATTTTCAGCATTTGTTTACTTTAAAAAGTTAAAACTAGTACACTGTGTCAATGATGTTATTTCAAGATTTAAGCTAATTTTATGCAACTACGTAAAATACTTTTTTTTTTTTTTAATAACTTATGATTTAAAAGTTTCCATTCATGGAAGAAATAACTTGCAAATTGGATATGCACTTTTTTTCCTGGTAGCACTTAGATGTATTTATAGAAGATCTTTAAAGCGTAGATTCATGGAAAGATTCCATATGTGTTGATTTGATTATGCCATTAAACAGCATAATATTGCTGTTTTCTAAACACTGAAGAAGCTTTGGTGGGATTCACTATCCCTTTGATTATAATTTTACCTTTTAAAAAATGTTTGGTATTACAGCAAATCACTAATATTTGCCAGCTCAGTTTCAGGTGTTTTCAAGTGGTTGTCTTTCATGCCTTAGAATTGGCTCAGCCACCATCAAACACAGACATCTCTGTGCCAAAGATGTTAGCTGACTCAAATCCTTCTTAACAGCCCTATGTGCTTCTTAAATCAGTTTTTAATGCATGTACTTTTTCTCTTTTCCTATTTACTGGTCTACAGAGCAGGTCTTGCTCCTTCAAAGAACTTTATGTAAAGTACCAGATGATCACAAAAGCCAACTTTTGTTTAAAATGAGTGAGTTAAGGACTGCTTCTCATACATCAAGCATTTGTGTTTTATGGAAAATATAATGTATTTTGGAAAGAAGAATCTTGTTCATGTCCTTTTTTTTACTAATAGACAACTTGAAGACTACACTTGGCCATAGACATACATACACAAAGCTATGCAAAGTGTGTAAAAAAGCGGACATTTCAAAACGGTATCTTTCAGATGTGTTTTGATCACTAGAGAATTTATTCTTTTCTTTACAGTGATAACCTCATCTGATCTGCACAAACATGGAGAGATTTGGGTAGTTCCCAACACAGACCACGTGTGTACAAGGTTTTTCTTTGTGTGAGTACAAACATTCTTTTAAAATTCTGTCTTTTCTAGGACTTTTTTTTTCTTCACATTCCTGACAACAGTTGTAAGTGAAAGAGATAGAAGACATTTATTTCTAATTCTTTAAAGCATCACCCTAGCTTGTATTCATCTCCATATTTTTTTTCAAGTGATGTATGGATACATTAGCGGCAAAGGTTTAGTAGGTATTTTAAGTAAAAGAAAAAAAAATGCAGTGATTCGAGAGTTACTGATTTTTTCCCACTCTGTAGCATTACCTTATATTGCTGTACCTTTGACCATCTGTTGCAAAATTTCTCTTCTATTGGTATGTATTTTTTAAAGCTAAGAATTATTGAGAAAAGGTTTCTTATCTGTGATGTGAGCATTCCCCTCTGAGCTATGATTTGTAGTTATATACTGACGTGGATTTCAGCCCTGCAAGAAGAGTCACGCAAACCAAGGGAGAGGCACACAGACTCCAGATTAGCCACTGTTGGAGGTTTGCAGTGATTAGGACTGCTCTATCCTAAAGAGAAAATCTGCGAAGCTGTCATGGTGTCACCAATAAGCTGAGACCCTTTTGTGACAAGAGTTTAGTTACTGTAGGTGTTGCAGTGGCTTGTGAAATGCTTTGGTGCCAGCCTTGTGCAGTGATTCCTTTCTACATGCAGAGAGAGGGGAGCTGCTATCCAAACCTCAGCCCATTAGTGGCACTTCTGCTGGTGGCAGCACAGAAGTCCGTTTGGGTCCCAGTGTGTTGTTGCCTCAGGGTTTCAAAGGCAATGGAAGTCCTACCACATTCCTGATTATGGGGTCTGCTTGTAACAGTGAAGTGCAGCAGAGCATTTTAATAGTAATCTTGTTAACGGCCATAATGATTATTGAATGATTATTGGTGATTATTGAATAAAACAGAATTTGGGATGGTTTTAAACGGATTAATAAAGCACTAACTTGATTTTATTTTCTTCACTTTTTTTTTTTTAGTTACGAAGATGGTCAAGTGGGTGATACAAGTATAAATACACAGGAACCGAGCATTCATAAAGAGATTCTTCGAGTCATTGGCAATCAAACTGCTACTGGTTAAAAGGACCACTCTTATTTAATTGATGTGGTTTGGAAGCCTTCCTCAGTCTCAAAGCTGGATTTTGAACTGAAGAAGATGCAAAAAAACCCTAATTTATTATTATTATTCTAAGCAAATTAACCCTTTGAATACTTACTGTTTTCTTACTTAGTGTTTCTTATCTCATCAAAATACCTGAGATGGTATGAATTAACAACTGTTGGGGTGCAAAGTCGATTAACATACAACAACTAACAATAATTAAACAGGCATTTGGGTTGCTCACAATAAACAGACTTTAAAAAAAGGAGTTTTGTGCTGATATTTTTATATTAAATTATTCAGTTGGAGGTTTTAGTACTGTATACTGGTATTTTAAATTTAGAATGACTGAATTATGTGCAAGTGAGAAGATTTTATAGCGGAGCAATTGTATTATGCAGGATACTTTGCAATAAGTAAAATATTCTCATATATTTAAACACAATAAAGAATTGTCTGGAAATGTCAAATCAAAGAGATTGGTTACCTGCAGCTATCTTCAATTCATTTCATTTTACAGAGGCGCAGCCAGGATTTAGAATCAAAGACAAAATAGTGCAGTTTTGGCATAGTGTGTGAAACAAAGAAAACTAATGACCCTGAGGATGTATGTTGAAACACCGTCATATCCACTCAGCAGCTCAATTAAAATTTTTAATTAAGCAAGCTTAGCAAACATCTAGAAATCAGAAGCTATTAACTTTCTTCTTACAAATTTGTTTTTTATACACTAGATTTAATAAGTTTTTTCGAATGAGTAAGGTCCTTCAGCTTTTCCATCTTGACTTCTGTGAGATTATTTAGTGGTTAAATTTAGCCAGATAGGCAAAAGTACCTGCTAAATTATAGCTTTAACATGATTGAGTTAATTGTTATTTCTACCAGGAAACGTAAACACAAAATATACTGATATCACCAAGTGAAAGTCTTTTTATTAATTTATTCCTAAGGAAAAACAAACCAGTTCACATCTTTGGTGTTTGAACTAGCAGCTACTTTTTCCAAGTAAGCACAACGGCAACGTGGGTCGGGGCCTAGTCTCCAAAGCCTAAAGTATATCCTGTGCCCTGGGCAGCTCTCATAGCAGCCATCCTGCAGCATCTCACCTTACATATGGAGAGCAATTCAACTTGCCTATCTGTGCCCTGAGAAAGGGCTGAAGTCTGGGACAACAAAAGATGATCATGAGTAAGACATAATATGATGAGCATAGGCATTACAATTCACTAAGGTACCGTTAGCAGCTCAAATCCCCCCATTTGTGGGGTGGGGAAAAGGGATGGGGCTAACAAATCACCAGTATTGTGCCTGGGGGAACTGGGCCATCTGGAAGGCCAATCTCCAAGGACTTAAGCCCAGTATTGCAAGCAAAGCAATGGAATGAAATGACAGTTCACTTGCTACACAGTAACTCAGTCAATTTTTTAATTAGACAAAATGGGAAACCTCTTGGTGTTACTTCATTTACAGGTGGAAATAAGTCTTCAGATTGCTCCCCTACAGAAGTCTTTGTTCTTATTGGTGTTTTTTTTTTTTTAAAGATTAAGGAAAAGGGAGGGTTCTGTGTGGACTTACTTGTCAGTCACAAATAGATAGCCTCTCTGCAGCAAACTTCAAAATTTAAACAAATAATAATTGAAACAAATATAGTCTTTTTACAAATAGCTTTTAATCACAGAGAAAAAAGAGCCCCAGACTCTATTACTCTTCTTGGTAGAAATCTCCATGAAGCTGTGACTCTATTCAGCATGGAGCAACTGAAGGAGTTCCTGAGATGGAACTTTCTAACTTATTTCTACATCCCACACCAAATTAAAAACCCACAAATCTGAGGGTTTGATGGAGAAATTATGTTAATATTTTAATGTTGCACCCTAATTAGAAATTGACATATTTGTACTTCTGTAAGTATTTTAAACATTGAGAAAGGAATCAAAAAAGATGCTTTTAAACCTTTCTTGAAATTCAGTATTTAGCATTCAAGGGGTTAAGCAACTTGGGTTATTTTCTTATATTATATATGATCAGCATAACTATTTTCTTCAGCAGTACTAAGCTGTTTTGATCACCTAAGTATTTGGCTCTGCATTACTAATAATATAATAGCCAATTTGTATGATATTCTGCTTAATGTTTTAGAGGAACTAGTTGATCACACCAGAATTGTTTATGCTTGTGTTTTCTCTAAAGCCCTTGAAAAACTGTTACTGATGCTGTATAATTTTAATATTATAGCTGTTGGTACTAAAAATGCATCTGTTGAATAATGCTAAGATTATGCTTTTGTTAATACAAACAGAAGATCACTTCCAAATGAAGACTTTAGGCTTAGATCAATAGTACTATGCTTATAAATAATTTTCTACTTTGGAAATATTTAGCATACTTTCAACATTGATAAGTACAAAGTGGAAAAAAAAAAAACAAAAACAAAAGCGTTAACCAAAATAAAGAGAATCGTGATTTTGAAAGAAACTAAAAAATTAAATAAATATAGGAAGAGTGTATAGTGACTTTAGCATTATATTAACTAAAACGGATTTCTTCTTGGTTGTAGAAGATAAAAGTCAAATTAAAAGAGTACTTGTTGTGACTGATAGGGTCAGTCAGAGCAAAAGCACTCTGTAATCTTAGCATTTTCAAAGCATGCAGGTTTGGGGTCTGACCTCGCATTGTGCTATACATCCACTGCAGGTGCTGGGGGTTAGGCCCTTGAACAAATGTAGGTATTTTTTGTACATGTAATTCCTGGCTCTTGTGGTAAGTGTTTAACAGCCCTCTGATGCCAAGGCCTGCAGCTACTGGCATCAGCATGAAAGATCCACGCTTGGGTATGCCTTGGCCTGGCTTCTGCTACCTGAGAGCAGGGCAGCAGCAGAGACCTCAGTGGTGAGCATGGCAGGGAGAAAAGGGCATGAGAGGTCACAGAGGTCAGGGCTGAGCCTCGCTGTGCCCTCACGGGGCCTGCGCTTGTTTTGTGGAGTGCAGCAGGGTGCAGCACTGCGCAAAGCTGCCGTGTGCAAACTGCAGCTTGGGTTGGGTGTCCTGCTGGCGTCCTTGTTAGTTCTACCATAAGGGCAAAGAGGAGCCCGTGGGTTAAACGTAGCAAAGCTGTTTGTTGGCAGAGTGGATAAAACAAGCATAGGGCTGGAAGCGGTTTGAAAAGTATCTCGAGTGCAGTCAGCCAGGGCTGTATTAATAACCAAATTTATTCCTTAAAGCACTGAGGAGTAGAGGTAAGCTCATACCTCAGAGGGGATAAATAAATAAAATTTAAAGCAAGGCAGCTCTCTGCATGCGCAGTGTCACGTACAGTGCACGAGGCTGTCTGTCACAAGGGGATCGAATCTCTGGATTCGGCTTTGGACACTTCGGGTGTGAAGTGCGGGGCTCCAACACCTCATCATGGGGTCAGTTCTGGCCGCTGCCATGAGCGGGTGAGTGAAATACCGAGCTGCTCCCTGGTGTGAGGAACGCCGGATGGTTGGGTGTTCCTGGTCTGCCAGGGAATGGCAATGATGTATATTACAGCCCATTACACTTTGCATTGGGGTTTTGTATGATATACTAGGCATAAGATTTTTGTAATGAGAAAACAAAATAGAATTAAAGTAGTAGTTAGTTCAACGTATCTAATGTGTGAAAAAGCTGTTGAAAAGTAGATTACATTTAGTGTTTACCAGCAAGTCAGTAAAAATAGTCCTTATACACATATAATTTAATGTCCTGAAGATAATTTTATATTTACCCAATATGTATTGTATCTTTGAATTTTAAGAAGCATCCACTCCTTTCTGTATACATAAAATATGCCTATGTTTCTTTTAAGTCTACAACCTTTTTTTCTCTGAATAAATATATTAAATTCCGTGCACAAAATAGTACCGCCGCCTGCTATTTAGCCTATGGTGCCTTAGAGTTACTACAGATATTCAACAAAATGTACATAATGTAAATACTGCCAGAAGATCACTAAGGCCAAATATTTTCTCTATTCACTTTTTACTGCACTTGCTTTCTATTGCTATTTAAGCCTCTTTTATCCAGATTTGTAACAGTTACAACATTGTAGCCAATGTAAATGTTTACTTTCAATAAATCAGAATTTGTTCAATAAGCACTGTGCATTTGAGCACTGTTTTAAGAGCTCTGTTTGACGTTTAAAGCAGTCTTTTAGAAATTAAAATAAATTTAATGCCGTTTCTGGACTTCTGCTAGTCTCAACAGCAACTAAATCTTATTCTATGGTTCTACACTTATTACTGGAGTAAAAATTTTCTGCAGTGGTCTTTTTAAAAGCAGATGAACAGTAAAACCAGCCTTTCATGCTGTGTTTATAGGAATGATCTACATGACTCTTCAAAACAGAGAAACTGGAATGGGATACTGTGTGCAGGATATTGTGTGTATAGTACAAAATATGTAAGGATATCTCAAGATGCATTTTATAATTGCTTTTAAAGAAGTTCTCTGTCTTTCTGTAGAACTGTTTCTGTCATGAAAGCAGAAAATATATGAAGAACCTTGTTGTACTTAATGGCAGTTTGTTTAAAATATAAATGCACATCTGCAACTCATAAAATATGCAGACATTTGTGGGACTGTTTATTAATTCAGTGAGTGTACTATTTTTTTTCTCTGCCTATGAGCTCATTTTAATTATAGGGATGGATATTAACTTGCATCTTCTGGAAGTTTGAACTTTTGTTTTGTAAAATTCATTGGTTTGTAACTGCAGATTTTGGACTGTAAATGTTAAAGTGATGCTGCTATTCTGGATGCTGACAAGTATTTTACACTTACATAAATATGGCATAGGGAACAAATAATCATATCATTGCAATTCCAAATGGCTGAGCATTTATTTGCAATTGATTGAGTCCTGTAATAGAGATGATATCTGTTTTGAGAAGACTTTATATCTGGAAGAAATAACGACTTCCAAGCCCCTAATCTAAGAGTTGAAACAGTGGTGAAATCTCAGACTAACGTCAGTACCCAGAGATAGAAGGAGGGCTGGGATTTGTATCAGTTCCAACTGAACTACTGCTCCATTCCCAAACTGCTGCATCACATGCTTTCTCAATCAATAGTCAGTTGTATCCACCTGTTAGGCAGTTCAGTGTGGGACCCTGCAAGATCAGTAATCCAAACATTAACTGAAAGCAAAACAAAAATATTGCACAGGAGCAGAGCTGCTTTCAAATGCGTGCACTGCCTTTTTGAAAGGAGGAAAAGCAGAGAATCTTATAAGAAAAAAATCAAATGGCTGTTGGAAAGAGTATGTGCTGTATTTCTTGAGCTGTATTTACATGCTTGACCAGCTTCTTTTTTGTGCATTACAGTGCAGTGCAGATTGCAACAAAAAATTTTGTATAGGTCACGAAGCCAGGACCCTGTCCAAGGGGGATGTGTCCACCCGAAATGTTATTAGGCTGCAGTAACTGAATAAAGTCAGTAGGAGGTGAGGGCCACAATGTGGCTTTGCCCCAGCTCCCAGCACAGTGCAAGCTCTCTGATTGCTAGAGAGAAAAAATCTGAAGTAGTATAACAAGGACATACTTTGGGGCTCAGTGCCTTGCAAAAGCCTGGCACTAAAACAGGCAAAAAAGAGCAACAACATGAAAACAAAGAAACACCACAGCAGATTTTAAGTTAGAACTCTTTTTAGTCAGTTCACTTAATAGGTCTCTCAGAATGGTTTTCTTAAACATGTTTAACGTTTTCTGTTCCAGTATGAGGGGAAGAAGTGTAATTCAACACAAGGAAATTAAGCCTCTAGACAGGACTGTTCTAGCAGTAGCATTAGTGTAGCAAGCCCCTGTGCAAGGCATCAATGACTGGATTTCAGCCAGCTCCAGAAAACTGGCATTTTGCAAAACACTGAAGCAGTGGGAATAACACTAGCAGCAGGAACAGTGACTGCTGCAGAAGTGAGAGCAGCATGAGTCTCAAGAGAGCATGTCTGGAAAAAAAATACAGGAACTCCTGGCTTAAGGTTTGATCAACAAAAGCCAGAGCTTATCATCAGCAAAGCAATCCTAATTTGTAACCTTAAAAAGAAAGCTTTCCATTGTTTAGGAAAAATGGGGGCAAAGATAGTTTTCTTCAGCTTTCTGTCTTGTAGCTGTTTCTTTCTAATAGCATGTAAACATATGCGCATCTATAATAAGTGAACATTAAAATACTTCTGTTGGTTCAAAATTAAGGACGAGGATATCACTTTGGACAAAAGCAGTGAGTTACAAGTGAGTTAACCAATAGTGGTAGATTTTGTTAAATCTGATTTGCTGTCTATGTGGACATGACAAGTAGTGCCAGAATCTTTAAATTCCTTGAAATTTCATAGACCAAGTAGTGCCTTGCCTGTATTTGCTAGTTCTTAGCCGGCATCCTGCTCTTCATGAGCTATTCCGTCTGTGTGAAACTGTATTTTTTTGCCTCTTTATTTTTTCTGCAAACTTGGATTTCATTCTTGCTGTGCTAATCAGTAGGGTGTGAGTTCTAGAAAAGTAGAATATGTTCTGTGCTTGCTGAGCTACTCCTGCTTGAAGCATTATTGCTTCATCTTGCTTTATTTCTGGCTACGAAGGAAACTCCAAAGTCTCCCTTAGCATACTTTCTACTGGCTTCTTCAGATAGTGTGTTCTTTGGACCTGTGCACCTAGGTGTCTTTGTTCAGCAGCATCTCTCAACTGTACCAGTACCAGTAACACCTGAACCATTAGAGCACTGATTACAAAGGTCCTTGGATGGCTTCCGACAGCTCATTAAAGATGGCACTGCATCTATCTCTAACAAGGAGATTTATCTTTTTGCCCAAGTTTTCTTTTGTTTTGTTTAAAGTCTCCAGTAGTCGCTTCTGAAAAGTTATATTAAAAAAATGAGAGCTTGTAGAGCTTTTTTTTACTCTATTGTTCAGTACCTTCACATTCTGTTTGACTGTGATAATGTGACCTGAATTTCTAATCCATTGCACTTCTTTTCCCTGTCACTCATTCTTTTGCTCAAACATCTAGCATTCAGAAAGGCATCAGATATTAGCTTTAAAATACAATACTGAGGATATTTTAGTTAAAATGCAAAAATTTTTCACCTATGAATAATAAAAACTGCTGTAATTACAGTCCTGCAGTATGAAAAGCATGCGTGGAAGCTATTAACTTATACATGAGAACAAGACTGTGTAGCTGCAAGAGTGTACAAAGGATGCTATTAAAAAATAAAGTGTTTTTAATAGTAAAAAGTGTTTTATCTTCACAAACTCCTCTCATAATTTCCATTCATACATGCAGAATTAGTAGAGTAATTTTAAAATACTCCCTACCTGTTGTTCTTGTATCTTTAAATAGGATTCAGGTTGGATTACCAGCTTTTCCAGATTCTTCTTTTCCCATCATCTTATTAGAAAAGCTTACTGGAGTCTTAGTTACTTTTAATTCAATGTATGTTATTGGACTCCAAGATTAATCTGCTTTGATAGTTTTTATAAGTTAGTTTGAAATGGACTTTTTTATCAATCAGCTGTCACAAACATTTGCTTTCTTCCTGCAGAATCACAGAATCACAGAATGGCCAGGGTTGGAAGGGACCTCATGGATCCTAAGGATCGTGAATCTCCAACCCTCCCCTGTCACATGCAGGTCCACCAACCTCCCCATTTAATACCAGACCAGGCTGCTCAGGACCCCATCCAATCTGGCCTTGAACACCTCCAGGGAAGGGGCATCCACAGCCTCTCTGGGCAGCCTGTTCCAGCGCCTCACCACTCTCTGTAAAGAACAGAGATCTTTTACATTTTAAAACACAAGTTCATTTACTTGAATCAAACTTTTCCTTGGAGAATTGAAAGATTTGATGGCATATGTGAATGAGATTTATTTTGAAAAATTTTTACTTTTTTATTTTTGGGGTTTTTTTTAGTAATGTGGTTTCCCACAGCTTGAGCAGCATATGCTTCAGTGTACTGTAACTATCCATGAAATGATCCAAATAAAGGCTGCCTTTATTTTCAGTTTTTAGGGCACTATTAACATAATGGATAAAGCTAAAAGTTCTGATCTAATTCAATTATGTGTAAATAATTTTATTTCGTGTAAGCTGTTCCTTTACACAGACTGCTTTGTGAATATATATTCATGTATATTCTTGTGAACTCTAGTATGTGTGACTAAAAGGAAAGACATAAAGCAACAGGAAAGATGTGGTTCATAATTTGTCCTGGCACCTGAACTGTGCCTGGAAGTTATGTGGGAGTTTATGGAGAATATGATTCTGCAGAGCATCAGGACACCAGTTTTATGAGTCATACAATTATCTTCCATGCCCAAAAGTGTTCTCACATCCATTCAGTTTGCTTCTATAGGCATAGGCATCTCAGTCAAACTCAAGTTTGTTCATCTAGATGTAGGTCTTTGCCTACTCTGCTGCAGTGAAGCTATTCTTTAGTGGAAGATTACTTTTCCAAAGCAATGTTGTGCTGACTTTTTACTTTGTACAATCTCCTGTGGAGAAAGCAAATGCAAAATGGATGAAGGATGCTAATGCTTTGATTTGTAGCATTATTCCTCCATCATGAATAAGCAAGTCACACCACAGCATTTAAGTCAATTATGATTCAAGCTTCTATAAAGATTTCAATATCAATAATAATTAGCTTTGTTTTCTTTAACTATATATACTTACATACATACACATGTGTATACCTTTTAATTTTGATTGGCAAATCATTGTTTGAGTACAGGAAAGTAGGGACCATTGTTTTATTATCTACAGCAGAGAGACTAACTAGCAAAGACGGCTGAGTGAGTAGAGTTCACCCATGAACTGTGATTTATTCCCTTGCACTGCTAGGAAGAAATTACTGAATCTTGTGGGTGGCTTTATTAAAAAAAAAAAAAAAAATAAGGGAGCCAACATCCACTGGAAATTTCAGTCTGTGTGATAAGAACAGATTCAAAACTAAGCTTCTTGAGGTATAGGATTTGTGATTTAACCTGTTCCATCCCACCAGTTCCCAAACAAGGATTTGATTAAGGATTTGTACTTTTTTATTTTTTATTTTTTACCAGAAACTTTCTCTGGGCACATAACTATAACCAAAAACTTTTCTAACTG